AAGTTCATTGTCCATTCTTTAGAAATGCTTTAACCAATGCAACAAAAAAAAATGGATATTATATTATTGAAAAATCAAATATCAGTGAATCAATTTTTAAACCTATTCTAAAGTAAGTAATCACAAAATTATTATTGAATTTTTTAATCTAATATATAATTAATAATTATAATAATATTTTATTTTGCTTTAAAGGTTTTTATATACTTGTAAAATTGAATTAGACCATTTTACTGGAGTTAATATTTTGGAAATATTAATTGCAGCTGATGAACTTGGTCTTGAGTCACTTTATGAATATACAATGAATTATTTTATTGATAAACATGAAGATTATATAAAAGAAAATCCAATTAAAATTCTTAAATTAATTTATTCAAACAAAGAAACTTTTAAGGAATTTAAAAATATTTATTTGGAAAAATTTTGTAATTATAGTGAAGAGTTATTTCAGTCAAGTGAATTTGAATCACTAGAAAAACCAATTCTATTGGAAATTCTCAAAAGGGATGACCTTTCTGTTGATGAGATAGTTGTTTGGGAAAATATTATTAAATGGGGATTAGCAAGACATCCAGAAATCAATAATAATAATGTTGAAGATTGGTCATCACAAAATTTTGCAGATTTTGAAACAACAATAAAAGAATTTATTCCTTTAATTAGATTCCGGGATATTTCTAATAAGGATTTTAGTCATAAAATTTCACCATATCTAATGCTTTTTCCTAGAGCTTCATGGAAAATTATTACTACTACTACCAACACCAACACCACTACCACTATCACTAGTACTAACTGTCCCCCTATCTTCATTTGATATGTTGTTACTATTGTTATTGTTGTTGTTTGATGTACTACCACTACCAATTTGTTCAGTAGATTTTAAATCGTCTAAATTTACTAATACTACATCTTCATCATTATTAACAATAAATTTGATATTGTCATCATCATCTTTACTATTACTATTTTTAAGTTCTTCTTTAATCGATGAAGACATTTTTGAATACTTTTTGAAATAGTACAGCTGCTGTTGCTTATAATAAATAATCACTTTATTTTTTTGCAAATTATAACTCTACTTTTTATTATTATTCGAGTTTTTTATAAAATACAAAGAAAAAACAACTAGAGTCAGATACATACATACATATACACATACATAATGGTATTAATATTAATATTAAATAAACAAACCTGAACTAATTGTAAATTATTTCTTGATATTGATGAAAACATGAAACTACAAAAAAAAAAAAAGATTTGATTAGCAATGATCATCATAATTTAATGAATAATTTTACCAACATTAGTTCTGACTTTCTTGCTCCCTGGTAATTTTTATTCTAATCAACTGGATAATAAACATAATTGTGTGAAAAATTGATTATTATTATGGGCCGTAAATTGGCCAACAAGTGGCATCTAAAAGGTCTTTCTATTATTTCCTACAATCTCTCCCGTCATCCTAGAACTTATATTGCATAATAATCTCTAGCTTAAGTAACTTGGAGAAAGGAACATTAGAAATATTTGTAATTGCTAAGAATTTTCCGAAGCGTCTAGACATCTTTGAGAGTTTGATGCTGTTAATTTTTTCTTTTAAAAAAAATTCTCTTTAATACGTATGAAAATTAATTCCTTATTATTTTTGATACCTAATAATGGATGGCTAACAGAATATTGATGATTGAAGTTTATTTTCACTCAATTGAAGAATTAATTGAACAGATCAACATAAAATTCATATTCGTTAGAACTTATGTTGCTTTTATATATTGTTGTTTCTGCGGTTTAACGTAGATCCTGAATTTGAATTAGGAAAAGGATGGGCATACCTTTAACTATTAAATAATATTCATAGAAGTCGTCAATTCATTAAAAGAAAAGCTTGCATTCAATAATAACCACATCCACTGCTCCTGATATTGCTATAACCACTTCAACTGTTACAAACCCATCAACTTTCAATGATTCTGGTGTTTAATAAGCAAAAGTGGGATGTCAACTTTTTCTAAATCAAAATTTTTCTATAATTGCTCTTCAAATTTAACCAACACAATTGTTACATAAAAAATATATCAACTTTACGAATTATATAAAGTCGGACATCAAAAATTTCAAACTCTCAAAGTCCACACAAAACTGCTTTACCAATTATTATTAAAATATTAGTTGTAGTTAAGGATTTTGTTACAACTGAAAGTAGCTATTAAAAAATACAATGGAAAACAAGAACACAAAACTAATTGAAAATAATACCAATGAAACACAAAACCTACCTGCAATTCTATGGCATGATCATATAATATCAATATATCCAAGAACTTTTATCAAACAATTACTACTAATTAAACACACAATTAACTGGATAAAACAAAAAGGCATAATTGGCACTTTTAAAGAACCACTAACATGGAAATACTTCAAGCCAAAAGAATATAAAATTAACAATTGCCAAGAAAACCAAAGAATAGAACTTTTCACAATTAAAGCTATCACAAAAAACTTACCCACAATGAACATACTAAACAAACGACGCTCAGATATATACCTGACAAATATATGCACCAGATGCAAAATCAAAAAAGAAACAATCAAACACATACTCTTTTGCAGTAAAACACAACAAACATACAAAGCAAACTTTATCAACAACATAGATAAAATTATCAAACTACACTATTCTAACAAAACAACCCTAAACACAAAAACCAATTTAATAACACAATTAACTGATAACACTGATCTAAAGAAGCTAATCTTTTCACCCAGCATGAAGATAATTACACAAACTAATTACAAAAAAATCAAAAAAATATTCAATAACAAAACAAACAAAATTATCACACAATTAATTGAACAATTAAACCATGAGTTTTATAATGAATGGAAGGAAAGAAATAAAAAACTTATAGAATGGGAAAATAAAAGAAAAATTACAAAAATTGAAAAAAGAAAAAAAACCACAAACATAATAGGGATTGGATCAATTTCTACCACTAGTCACACTAACAACAATGACAACCTTGAAAATATTAAAAAAATCCAAGACCAAGCTATACACAATTGGTTCATTAAAGGTTGGTCCAGACACAAAACAATTGAATAACAAACATACATACAAATATGTATGTTTAACAATCCTCAACTTAAAGTAGTTACTCACCTACTAATAAAGCACGAATGTGCAATTTTTATTTAATAATATATAATAAAATTAAATTTAAAAGGTGGGGCAAAGATTGGTCACGATGTATATACATGTGGGTAAAGTTTTCATAACATGAGGGAATTATATATGTATTTAAAATATGTATAAAAATTAATTCTTAATAAATAAAACTAACAATCTTTTGCAAAAAAAAAAAAAAAAAATAAAATAAAAAAAAAAATAAATTTACTTAATACTGAAGAATAACCACTTCGTGTAGAAGGTACATCACCAACTGTTGTCTAATATAACAAATATTTATTAATATCTTTCAGTTGAAAATATTATTACTGATATTATATAACTTACAATTTTAGACCATGAATTTTGATTAATATTATACAAGTATATCTAAATATAATATGTATTATCAGAAAATATAACATTTTCATTCCTTTTATTTTAATTTAATAATAAAAGAATAAATTATAATATTACTTTAGTTGTAACAAGATCAAGGTAAAGTATATTTTCATCATTCAACACATAACAACTGAAATTAAATATGCTTGTTGAAGATGGACTATTACTTGGTGTTAAGGTTGTAAATATCAAACTTTTGGAATTGAATTTATATATATATTGATCAGTATGAGTGAATATATATGTGTTTCCATTATTATCTTGTGTATATCTCATTACACCAACATGATTTAATTGTAATTGTCCATTTAGGGTTTCTGAAGTCCATGTATCAAATGAATTTGTATTTACTGAATAAACTATAGAATCATGAGCTGCATCTCTATGTCCAACTATAACAAAAAGTGTGTTATTATTAACTCCTCCTAGTGCTAATGATGCAAGTTAAATGAAGGTATTGCTGATTTTGGAACCATTGATTTTATTGGTAATGTTTGCTTAAGTGAAAATGATGTGGATAAATCTAGGTAAATTATTTGGTTTATAGGTTCTGAATTCCCAGAATATCCTCCAAAATAATAGAGTTTATCATTTAACACTATTGAACTATGACGACATATATTAATATCTAATGCTATCTAATAATAATAAATTGAAACTATCTAATAATAATAAATTGAAAATTATTATTAATAAATTTAATGATTTTAAATAGTTATGATGTTTCCATTTTTTTAAAAAAAATTTATAGTATTAAAAATAAATCTGCGTTGCCTTCAAAAATGAATATTCTATATAAGGAAATAAGTAAATTTTTGCTATTTCTCCAAATATTAAAAAATAAATCTATACCAGGTGTGCAATTAAAAATTTTACATGCAGTAAAGCAAGTGTTTGTTTGGTTATTATCTCCAAATATGCACCATTATATAGAAAAATCAATATTGGATTTATTGCTACCACCATCCTTGTTGAAACGCAAAATTTCTTAGCCAATTAAAATCTCCTATTAAATAGTGGTTCGCAATAAATAAATAGTGTGAATTCATAGAATATGTTATTTTACTATTTAAAAATCTTTCTTTGTGTGTGATAAACTTTCTTCATTAGAAATTTTAAAATATTACTTAAAAACAAAATGTTTAAAAAAACTGAAATAGAGGTTTTTGATATTAACTTTATTTAGCAAATTTAAGAAACCAGTCCCATTATATCAAAAATAAAAGATTAAATGAAACAATCGACAATAACTATTATAATTGTTGGGGAGCAGTGCTTATTTTGATAATTATATATTGGTATATCATATAATAGTACAGTTGACTCTGTTTATACCGAACCCCCTGTTCTGAGAATTTTTGTTCGTTATAGCCAGAGTTCGTTATAGCCAGCTAGATGTGTCACGTGATGGTAACATATATAATAAATAATTTAATTCAATAGCCGTTTATTATATTTATTGATCAGAAAGCTTATTTATAAGAATTATTTTTAAATATGAAGTTATAAAACATTCTTTTACAAACAGACTTTACTATCAAATATAAATAAAATGTAGATATAAATATAACTATTAAATATAAATAAATGTAGATATAAATATAAATAAAAATACTATCAATCTATCCAGAAGATTGATAGTATATGAATATTTGAACCCAAACACAATATTATATTCAAATAAAAATAAACTGCCAAAGCTACTCAATCATTTTATCCTCAAAATAGTGATTTAAGTCAGTTTGTTTAAGATTTTTTTGAATAACTAACCCAATCCGTCTATTTAATCCTCTCAAAATCTTTACTTCTTCACCAACCTCACCAAATTCTGGTCCTTGCTGATACAAATACTTTAAAACAGTATCTACTGACTCTTTAGCTACTTTATTACTTATTATCTCGATTTCTTCCATTGATTCAACTTCCTCTTCGCTACTCTGTTCCTCCTGGTTTACCATTTCTATTATATCCTCATCAGTGAGGTCTGTCCAAACATTCTCATCCTCAACATGAATGTATTCATTTGCTGAAAGATTGTTACTATTTGGTAACTTTTCAAGAAGCATTTCCAAATCTTTCTCCTCATCCTCGTCATTAATACTGAAAGGTTCAGTGATTGTTCTTTCTGGAAGAATGCCAGTTTTTAACCAGCAATTATGTATTGTTTGTTGTGATACATTAGACCATGCTTCTGCTGCATTTATTAAAGCATTATATACAGTATAATCAGCAAGTTTATCTGTAGTACCATCTTGAAAGTCGTCATATGCTTTAATTCGATTTTGAACAAATAGAGCTCTATATTTACATTTAAAGGAATGGATGATCCCAGCGTCACAAGGTTGAAGAAAAGTTGTAGTATTTGGTGGAAGAAATTCAACCTTTACATTATCCAATTTTTCTGCAATTTCTTCAAGAATAAT